CTGGATTAGATAGATACACAGTCATCGGAATTGGATAACTACACGATCATCAGAATTAGATAGATATACAATCATCTGAAGATCATCGTGGCCTCCAGGCTTATTGAATCAAACAGATGACCAGAGCTTTTCAGTGAAACTCATAGCAGGTACACACGGTTGATCAGACCGTGCATCACCAGGGTATCCAGAGTGTCTTCGTTGATGGCAGACTCTGGACCCTGCTGCCATCCCCTGCTGTAATTGTCAACTTCACACAGTGAATCATACCATCCACCATCCAATATCAGAAACTTCGCTCTTTGTGACTGAATATCCTTAGGAACAGGATTTCCACACACACACACACACACACGCACACACACACACACACACACAGACAATTTGGGCCCGTGCCCGGGACTGGCAAACGGTGTGCGGACTTGCTTCAGTTGGCAGTGCGCACGTCGATACCAACGATGTCCGAGCCATTCCGAGCCCTCACATGAGTCGAGTGTGGCCTGCCCCCATGCACCTCTCACCACGGCTGTGTATACTTTGTCGGATGAACCATGGATGTGGACCACGCTTGCAAGAGTTTAGCTTGTCCCCATGCCTAACTGGACGCAACTGGCAGGCCATAACGGACTACATGTGCAAGCACCCCCTTCCCAGAGCCGTTTCCGATGAAACTGACTGGATGTGTGGATGTGATCTCCCTACAAGCCTTGAGGATCCTCTCGAGCAGCTGGGTGCGCAAGCCATCGATGGCTTCGTCCCCCGTCCAAAAGACCGAGACAAGCCTCGACAAGAGAAACGTCGGACTTGTTTGTGTAGGGCACGATGTCACTATGCGCTTTGGAGCCAATTCCGGACCCGTGGGATGACAGCCCACAATGCCAAGCTGCGCGTGGTTCACATTCTCCGCATTGGGCTCCGGCTGAACTTGCAGACATTCCTGGCAGCTCCAAGCACCAGTCGCACACAGCGTGGTGCTTTCTCTGCAGCTGCCCTGGTATATGGGACAGAAATTCAGTGATACCACGGAAGACGCGGCCACGAGCAGCTACGATGACCCAAACTCGCCCGCTCAATCCAAACCAGAGCTAAACCAGAGCTGTTAAAGCCCAACTGGAGCAAAACAACAGTACACACAGCATTGCAATATTCAACATTTGCGACTGTGGCAGCAGCGGTGGCGGTCGCGGTGGTGGCGGCGGTCGCGGTGGCGGTGGCGGTGGCGGTGGCGGCGGCGGTGGCGGCGGCGGCGGCAGTGGCGGCGGTGGGGGTGTTGGTGGTGGCTGGTGGTGGCAATGGCGATAATGGTTGATGATCACTGTTGCGATGATGATGACGAAGAATGCCCATGAAATTGCCAACGTAGATCCTGGCTGACCGAGCTACCTGCCCCGCGTCCAGGCAAGCGAAACGCGAGCGGAGAAGCATGGAAGTAGAGGACGTTGGTGCTGAGGCACCTGCCGTAGGAAGGTTTTCTGGGGGGTAGCGGATTGGACGCGCTGTGTCGATGCTCAAGACGCACTTGCCCCAAAACGTGAATAAACAGACGATGAAAGCACACCACCGGGCGTGCACTGTGCGTGAGGTTCATTACTTGACCAGCATGCAGCCCTGGGATGCCGTGGGGACTCAGTGACCGCTCTCCTGCGGTGCTGCATCCGAAGGTGCAACTACTCAGGCAACGCCTCGGAAGGGCAGCAAGTCCAGTGCGGAGAGGATGTCCTGGGCGGCCTTCGCCCGTAGGTTGCCGTGGATAAGCGCCTGCATAAGTCCCAGAGTCCCAGAGCACTGTGACATGCTCCGATGCTCTTTGATCGCAGACGATGACTTTTCGAAGTGCCGGCATCTGTCGGGCAGGCACTCAGCTCGCCAAGTGGAGCTGCGCAGCTGCAAGACGCAGCTTCCTGGGCCATTCTTAGCGGCTTACACAAAACACAATGAAACGGCACAAACACTCTCATCTCTCAGCAACCATTCACTGTGGAGTAATGCTAGGCGGCAGGGTCCAGAGTCACAGGCAGGCTTTCAAGGCGGATCGGGACGTAGTCATGCCGTACTCTGCTACGAAAAGCGTCTCAACGCACAAAACTATTAACCCTCTAGCTGCCTGCGTTGATGAAACCGCTTGGCGATCGAGGTAAGTCCCTTCACTGCTCCCATGACATCACTTTGATTCTGTGAAAGAGCGGCTTGAACCCGACCTCTTTTTACGTTGCTGCTGCGGCGTACATTTGCCACCAACTGATCCGAGCTTCGATGCCTTCATGTTCGGCTTCTCCAACATACTGTTTCTGACGACGGCAACGATTCCAGCCACAATCAAACCAATGACCACTGCCAGGCCCACCGGCCATGCCATGCAGAAGGCACCTAACAAGCTCACTGCAGCGCGTCGGGCACAGTTTCGCAAACATGCACAAACGCTACCCGGGAAGCTTAGGATCTGAATGAACAGTGAATAAGCATGCCCGTTTCTGCAAACTCAACAGCCTCGCAAATATGGCGAATCCACACATCTACACTGCAAGTTGTGGCTTTCGGACGGAATAAAATTGGAGCGTGCGGAATGCTCGCGGTGTCTTTGTTTCACGGCCAAGGTGCCAAAGAGCACCAGGCCGCCGAGAATACCGCAGACAAAGAAGGCCTCGGCTCAGGAGACTCAAAAGAAGCAGGAAAAAAAGCAAACAAAAAGAAAACGCCCTGCTGATGAAGAGCAACAGCACTCCCATCTCGTTGAATCTGAGAGGCCTGGCAGCCACCACCCCCGCTGCCCTCGCTGCAGGAGTTCATCGAGGCGATGGCAAATGTAAACAATAATCCCGCCACCACAAAGCAAACGATGGCGACGAGGATGCAGAAGAGGATGAAGACGAACTCAGCACAGGGGGACAGTCGCAGTGGCATTAGCAAACATGTCGACAATGTCGAGAAGCACAAAAAGCCTTCCCGTCAACTCCGAGCTGCTTGTGTTCGCGCCGCCTCCGACTCATCCATCCAGGAGTCGCTGTGCAGCAGAATTCGCGCTTCCTCATCGCGACTCACCGCAGCCAGCAATCCTCGTCTGGTCAAATCAGAGTGTTACGGGGATCGACAAGACGCTTAAGGCAAAGCAGTGCCACAATGTTCTTTGCCGCGAAAGTCAAGGGATACCTGGTAGGGTAACCTGAGCTCCGTCGAGTTTCTCTCGGACTTGAGCTCCAAAGACGACGCTGTACGTGAGTCCGGCGGGTTTGTGGCCGTCTCCATGTGCGCCGCTGCCTCATCAGCAGTGCCTCGGTCACCCTGACCCTCAGCCTCCGGATCAAATGGAATCACATGTCACATGCCCGCGGCTTGGCAAAACTGCTGGAACTTGATAGCTGAGGAGCTGAGCAAGTCTGCCATGGAAGAACCGCTGAGCGTCTTCAGATAGTCTTGGCAGTGCTCTGGCAAGTTCAGAGTTTGGCCCTCGAGATCGCCGGCATTGTAACCAGGCACCTTCATGAAATAGTTCATGAAGTCTTTCAGCTGCTCCTTCTCAGCGAGTGTTTCGTCTTTCAGAACACACTTGTCTTTGGACTCCAGCTTGGCCTGGGCGACCGAGACTTCCGAACACAGCTCAGTGTGCCGGTCTCACGAAAAGCGCTGATTCGGCATCCAAGCCGCCGTCTCAATAATGATTCGGGGGCGCTTGAGTACGAAGTTGACGAGCTCAGAGTGCCTTGAAACGGAATCGGATGGCTCTTACGGCTACGGCCTCCCTGCAGCTGAGCTTCAGCTTTGCAGGCACAGAGACATCCTGGGAGGCTCGGAGAGCTGCCACGGACGAATCCTTTGCAGCCTTGTACTGCGCAGTCGTCAAGCGATCCTTCGCAGCAAAATCTTGCAAGGCGGACACTCCGTGCAAAGACTCCGCTCCACACTGAATCTAACCCGGCACCTGTGTCAATGGCCATGGTACACGCACGGTGTTCCAAAGAAGCTGCTCATGGACCCTAGATTCCTAGATGACTCAAGACATCCCTCGCCTGGCGATGGCGCCAATGCTTCATGTCCGTTTGGCTTGCTCGGCGATGTGCTGCCGTGAACTTCCCCACTTCAGGATCTGTCCTGGCACACGGCATGATATGCATCAGGCCTCCTTTCCTCTCGGACTCGAAGTCAACCAGCCTTGAAGGAAGCGTCTCAAAGACTTGGAGCACATCCGCGGCTTCTTCCCAAAGCTCTGCAGTCTTCTTCATGCTCGAACGGCCGGCGCTTGATGCGGAGACCGCCTCCAAGTCTTCCATCTTTTTGACAACCTCAGCGCGACCCTTGCATCGAAAGGCAATGACAGAGCCAAGAAATGCTGAGAAGTCACGTCCAGTGCCTTTTCCTTCAATGCAGGGATGGCTTCAGTCGTGAGAATGTTGTCGGCCTCCTCATGGGTACTGCCACCGACTGCTTTGCATTTCTGCTGGTCACCAAACGGAGCCAGAGCAGTGGGCGTCTCACCTTCGGCAACTTTCTTGCAAAAGGCAAGTGGTCCACAAACGTCGTCGTCGGAGTCGTAAAAGCAGCGGAACGCGCACAGGCTGGGGCTGTTTAGGCAGGAGCTCTGGCCCAGCATGGCGTCCACCATTGCCACGAGCTCCGTGTCTGGAGACTTCAGCGGCTTGGAGGTTTGCCCTTCGACTTCCACGTGAACTTCGGAAAATGTCTCTTCCGAGGCCATGTTTACTGCGTCGATGTCAATGGTGCTCTGGACTCCCTTGTAGAGGTAGTAAGGCTTCTGGCTCCCCTTCCTGTAGACGGGATAACCAGCATAGCGCCAAGGGATGGTGCTGGCGGTGGTTTCGCCGATGATGGGGTTCCTCTCGGTGCGGATCCAGAGCATTTCGTCCTTGCTGTATTTGCTAGGTCCCCAGGATCTTCCGTCAAAGGCTTGCCACCCCGAGATGCCGACAACGGCCATGGTTTTCATTTCCTGGCAAGGCCGGCACGATGCTCAAACACAACTTCGAAAGGTAATCAGAAGCCTTTCTTGACTTCGTGCCTTAGTCATCACGATGGCGTCCGGCATGATGCGATACTTCGTGTCCATGCCCCTGACCTCCACGTACTTCTCTGGTTGCCCTTCGCCGCCGCTTTCATAACTGAATGTGATCGTGGCGTTCGCCCAATGCAGGTTACCCCTTGGATGAACAAGTTGCCGATCAGGCACAGGAAGCTGCTGTGTCCCTAGACTGTTTAAGTGTCAGGCTATGGGGTTGCAGCCATGATTCAAAAGAGGATTCTCTTTACCTTTCGCCCACATTGTTTCCATTGAAAACGAACCATGCTCAGCCACGTCGGCCATTTGCTCATGAAACCTTAGTAGGACAAGTTTGCCTGCAGATCTCCGCCCGGAAACAACTTAGCTGCTTTAAGCGTTGGCAATGTGTGCTCCGGCCAAAAATAGGAAAACTGACTTGGAAGGTCCTGAAACTGGCTGCTCTGCTCCATAGTGTTGGCAGCCAAAGTTACCATCTCAGCCACGTTGAAGGAGTCTCGCGCAGCGGAGACATCCCGAACGGCCAGCATGAAGATAAAGGCCTGGCTGGGGAAGGCGGGAAGAAACCAGCGGCTCTGAGGTCCGAAGCTTCCAGCGAAGCCAAGCGGCCAAGGCGAGGTTCTGCCGCGTTGAAGGCCGCATCGTCACAGACGATATGAAGTTGACACTCAACGAAGTCTTGGTCTTCTGTTAGCTTCGAGCACAATTGCGAACATGCAAACATGCCGCTAACATGCCCCCCAACGGCACCTTCTGTGAGTATCTTACAGCAGTCAGATCAAGCTGCGCAACAGCAAAAACCTGCTTTGCACACCCGCCTGCCCAAAGAAGCCCTGCTCCGCGCTGCGAAGCAGCCTAGAGTAGTCCCGGACAGCCGACAACGTAACCTGTGCAGACTCAAAGTTCTCAATGTAGACTTTCTCTCAAGCCAAGGGTGTGCATGGTCACACCAGTCAAGGTTCAATGCAGCATACCCCATCAACCCCATAAACCCCAAACCCACCAAGTTTCCCCCCTCCCAAAGTATTCCTCCACTTCTTCATAGGAACATTCTTTCAATCGCCGTCCCTCCTGAGCTTTGCATCATCGAGGAAACGTCTGCTCCTGAAACTAAACATCATGTAACCTTTTAGCTGTAAGGCGAGCCCCCATGTTCGTAGCGGCACCCTTCTCAACCGATCGTTGCATGAGTGGAAAGTCATTTCGTTTGATCGATATTTAGAGCGCAACGCATCACACATTGTGCAACACAGACCGTCCGGTGCATGAAAACGCTACTTTGCCGACCCCTCCGATAATGTCTCTTTTCTGTGGCAACTGATGACTCTAATTCCTTTCGCAACTTCGGGCGTGTTTCGGCCTTGCTGGTGGCCTTCCGCAAGTCTTCGATGCTATACCTAGCTGCATTGGCAACAAGGTGGCAATGGGAGTGTAAGCTGTAGGGCTGCAATGAGGTTTGAGCTGGGCTTTTCGACGAGGACGTGGGAAGCTGAGAAGGCGAACAGCTAATAGAATATGTGCACAAGAGAGAGTTGCCCCGCTCGGACTGTAACCTGAACAGCAAAGAGGCATTCGATGATAGCATGGACAACAAGACCCCTGGCTTGTGACATTTAGGTGACTTTGGTGAGATATCGGTCAACAGACGCGGAAAGGACACCCCTGCAGGGAAGCAGCCTCTGCATGATGTAGACAGCCGCTCATATGGGGAGTTCTCTAAATTCGGGTCCCTTTTAGGATCCTCTTTATAAGGGTGCCGTACCATACTGGGGACCTAAAAAGGGACCCTAATTTAGAGAACTACCCATGTCCAAAACACAGCACACGACCAGCTGCTCACTGCTGCCCTGAACGCTCTGGGCAGAAGGTCGCTAGGCGGGAGAAGTAGGCTGCATGTGCAAAGGGCTGCTGGACGTCGAAAGAAGCCTGCAAAGCGTAGAAGTCGGGTATAAAAATCTGCGTTTGTGAATGGGTAGAGTGATGATTCTGATGTATCATGTGAATGAGGTGCGAAAAACATTGTGAGATTTCGCAAGCTTCCCGATGCCGTCTCACAGTTCGGCACAGCGTCGAGCTAAACGAGAGCAAAGCAAACGAGTTTTTGGCAGCCGCAGAGCCTGCTCTCGCTTCAGGTTATCCAACGCCCGCGCAAACTCGCTCTCCGAAGGTCCATCGAAGTCCCGGATTTTCGCAAGGACCTTTGGTGCTGAGCTGTTTCATCCTGAGGATCATCATGCTTCTACCACCTGTACAGCGGTGCAGCCTCTGTCATGAAGCCAATCTGCGCCCCGAAGCTTAGACTGCATGAACACGCTGCTGAAGTTAGAGAATCTCGTCTTTGAAATATTTCACGCTGAGTACAGAACTACAACTTGTCTGGGCCTCTCCCACGAAAACCGGCAGCTTGTCGCTGTAGCCGCTGAAGCTGACATTCAGCCCCACAGTAGTCCTGTCCAACGTAGGTCTTCTCAGAGAACTACAAGCCCAACCTTTTTTCCTCGTGCTTGCTTGCTGAAGCTGCTGCGAGGGCACGAGCCACAGCCGGCGTTGAGGCCAGCAAGCTGCGCATCGTAGTACTCCTCATGATTGAACTCAACCAACAGACCATGCCATGTGACAGGCAATTAACCTGGTCAGAGGAGGCTGGAGCCAGAACGGAGAACCCTGAAAGACTTGCGGGGAGATGCGGGGAGAGGAGCAGGGGATAGCAGGGGCCACAGCTCAACCGGGTACGGCACTTTCCAGAATCTTGGATCGCGGGAAGGCCAAAGACCGCAAGCTCCTCGTGAGGACCTCCTTACAAGCCTGGCACTATCGCGCTTGAGGCGAAGTCCTCGGTGAGGCGATCCGCCAAGGACAACTGCCAGATGCCTCAAGGCATTTGCACTTCAATCGCTATGAAGGACTGGCTGACGGATTGACGGCTGGTGTGTGCCATGTTGGTTGTGGGACTGCAAGTGACTGCACTGCGTGCTCGCAGCAAACTACTTGTGCGTGCCATGACACCGGCATTCCTTGCTCGGGACCACATGACTATGCGAAAAAACAAGACTGTGTGCGAAGGCAACCGCATTATTCCTCACCTGTATGTCATATTATGTCGACTTCGCATCGATAACTGGCCGTCCTATAAAAGCCTGGATACAAGCACGAGCTGCAGAAAGAAACGTAATACCTAGTGAAGCGGAGCATGTGGAGATCCTTCTAGCAATGGCAATGCCTCTTGATTGTCCCAGCCACGAGCGACAATTCGACCCTCGGGCGTGTCCACTGCAGATCCGGGAGCTGAGGAGGATCTGTGCTCAGCGTCCGGAAACCAGAACTGCCTAGGTGACTGACCAACTGAAAGGGAGTGCTGAGGGTGCACGCGGGGGCTTCAATGACCACAAGCAAAGCTTGCAGAGAGTTAAGCATGAGCAGGTGAAGCCAATAGCAATGATGAGTTGAGTATGTCAGTGTCCGCTTCATGGATTCGCACCATGACTTGACCAGCGACCGCGACGGTTCCAAAGCCGATTGAGGCTCCTCAGCCACATGGACCCTTGAAGCTGCGGCACAAGATGACGGTTGCCTTGGGCACGCCGAATGCCTGGTCTGCCTTGAAGAAAACTCGCCACCGGTCCTCGACGCAGGCAAGGTGAGCGTAACCTCTCTGCTTCTATCCATGCAGGACTTGGCCCCCAGAGACTCCAATACCCCTTACAGTAACTAGGGAACATACCCTAAATCATATTAGGGATCCTACTATAAATCATATTCGGGATCCTACTATAATCTATATAAGGCATATCCCTTAATTAAGGGGGAATATGGAGTCTCTGGGCCCTTGGATCTCTTGGCCGAGGCGCATCCTTCCGAATCAGCTCCGGGGGCTTCGAGGAGGCAGCCGCCTTCTCCCGAGCCGAGGCCTGCAGCGGGGGCTTTTCTTTTGCTTTCTTTCAGAATGATGAACAGAAGGATGCAGATATGTGGGAGTTTTCGAAAATAGGGGACCCTAATAGAGTACTCTAAATAGTAGGATCCTTAGTATAAGGACCCCAAGATAAGGTACCCTAATTTTCGGAAACTCCCGTATGTGGCAGTTCACATTCACCACGACGATCCATCGACATCAACCCCGGAGTCAATCGAAGATCGGACGAAACCGGATTTTGAACTCGACAAACAACGCGTGTGGCTATCATCTCGGTTGCACCTGTGGCCAGGCCAGGTCGAAGTCTTTGGGGATGAAGGGATTCGGCCTCGCAACACAAAGCCAGTAATCCGGCTCGGGAAAGCTCCTGATCCTTGCAACGGCTTGCACTGTCACGAATTACGGTAATTCCGATACAGATGCCCTTCACAAAACAATCGTTTAAAAACACTGCAACGTGCCAAAACTCGAGTTTGTGCACTTCGCAGGCATGACGTCGGCACAGCTTTCACGGAGTCAAACGAACCAGCTGCCAACAACCACCACAACACCACCGCCAGCACGAGCCGCAGAAGCAGCGCAATCATCACTATAAATGTCAACAACTTAATTAGCATCAGAAGTACCAGATCGCAACATCACTCCACCCTCTCTACTCCGACCCACTGCGGCGCACTTCGGGTAGCTCCAGCCCTCCAGTAAGTCTGCCGTTGGCCGCGTGGACCAGCCTGTGGAGGCTCTTGGCATCTCTTGCCTTGAGGCCGAAGCCTAGACTCCTAGACTCCTAGTCTCCTAGACCCTGGCCCGAGCACCCCCCGGGCCCCCGAGTGGAATGCAAACAAAACAGACCAAGCTGGGGCCAGAAGTCAGTGAATTTGCGGCAGCTGCATTTAAGTGATGAGATCATTGACCGCTGACATCCGAAAGTAGGCGCTTGTCCTCGATTGATGTTCAATTTCTATGCGTACTCCGTGGCTCAAGAAACTTTCTGGGAATTCTTCGGCCTGTGAAGGCCGACTTCTGCAGCTCCCTCTCTGCATACCTGAGGACCGAAAGCAGTGAAGTGGGGGGGGGCGTTTCGTCGGCCTTTGCTGCCTTCAAGTGTCGGCCATCACCGTAAGATGCGTGTAATGAGTTGTTGTCGAATATCTACATGACCCACGGGTGTAGTTAGAGTCAGGCGAGTCAGGTACGGCGAGGATGATTGAGGCTAACGACGACGGACCGACTCGCAGTGTCTTTTACAACCTTGGCCGCGGTGCTTGACGCCGTACCACGTCTCGGTCTGCTTCGCCTTCCCCGCATTCTCCCGCGCGAAGGTGGCGTAGCGTGCACGCTCGGGTGTGAGCTGCTGGAGAAGGCCGAAAATCGCCCGCTTCAGGCTGCCTGCTGGGTACAAACTGTGATGTAGGCGCAGCTACAACACGGAGCACAGCAACTCCCGGCCTTTGTTCGGCCCATCTTCTGGTGGGTCAAAGAGAAGCACACGATTACCTGGGCCAGTCTGGCGATGCTCCGATGCTCCGGGAGTCAAACACGCTTGCGACATGGAGTAAGCCCAGTCGCTGAGGTAAGTTGCGGGCGATAGCCTGTCCTGCGAGATATGTGGACATGACTGGAGGAGCCTATTGCAGAACATGATAATGTGCAAGAAAGAGGACTCGGCTGCTACAGCTTTAACTTACAAGCACAAGCTGTCACAAGCAGGTGCTGCACTCCTGCCTCCATTGCCTCCACAGCCTCAAGTGTAGCCTGCTGACTCCTCGAGTTCGAGGGTCATGCCCGCATGTGCACATCGCCAGATGCAGCTCACAAGATGACATGATTCATGTTTTCGCAATCTCGTCCACCAATACAATGCTGGGATCTCGATGCACGGAGTCAGCCAATGGATGTTCAGGCTTCAGGCGATTACGTGCTCCCTTAATTCACTTTGCTTGCAGCGCACCTTGGCTTCTCGGCAAAGCGCCAGCGCAGCTCCGCAAGCTCTCTCGTCTCCTTTCACAATCACTTCAGGTGAAGATGGACGAAAGGAATCATTGTAAGCGAGTGCAGCACGTGCCGGGTTTCGCTCCTGAATGGAATAGTCAGGCACAGCGTCCATGCCGCTCTCCTTGCACGACGAGGGGCACTTGGCAAGCTCGCGCTGACATGCATGCAGTCTCAAGCCTGGCCCATCTACCCGAGAGTCCACCCGGAAAGCGCAACATGTGCACTTCGACAACACAAATGCCGACACGCTCCGTACCCAAACTCCCAGTTGGACATGCGCATCACCAAAAATGAGAATCCTTCCGCGTGCTCCGAGCTCCTGCATCTGCCGGAGCACGCTAAAGACCGCTCCATAGAGAGCCTCCTTCTGCCGCAAACCTTCCTGAAAGGGGAAGGGACCACGCGTCCGCATGTGTGCATGAACCTCTCTGTACAATTTTCGAAAGAAATCAGACTGGCCTTGCAGACCCTCTCAGGCCCCTGGCACAGCCACCCGTCACAATCCCGACAAGCTGACAAAGGGCCTCGGAGACATCGAAGCCCACCTGTCTTGAGCTCAGCTGTTGTGTCTGGCTTAAGACTGAGACTGCGTCTAAGACAAAGGATGCTACGTGACCCGTCCATTTGCGGCAACTTCCGAAGAAAGCAACCCGTGAGGCTGCACAACTTTTGTTGAGGAGATTTTCCACTAGACATTAGGCAATGGAGATTGCCAGAACCTACAATCGCAGACCCTGAACCCCAAGCCTCAGATTCCTCAACCAGGAATCCTAAGATCCCTAAGTGCCTTGAAGATGGAAAAGTCGTCCTGGTCGAAGACCACCCCCGCGATGGTCTTGTTGGCCCAGCCCTTTCTCTTCAAGAGGCTCTGAAGCGAGCCAGGCCCCTGGCCAAGGTGTTCATTGAACGACCCATCGAAGGAGCAATAATGCCAATAGCAACGATAAAACTTCTGATTAGAATGACCATGACGCAGCAGCAGTAGCAGTAGCAGTCAGTAGCAGTAGCAGCAGTCGTGGCAGTAGTAGCCGTAGTAGCAGTAGCACTAGCACTAGCACTAGCACTGGCACTGGCACTAGCACTAGCACTAGCACTAGCACTAGCACTAGCACTACTACGGCTACTACCACTACTACTACTACTACTACAACTACTACTACTACTACTACTACTACTACTACTACTGCTGCTGCTACTACTACTACTACTACTACTACTACTATCATTATTAACGGTAGTGGCAACAGTATGAGCAGTGGTAGTAGCAATACAGTAGTAGTAGAAGCATCAGCAGCAGAGCTTCTGCAATGCTTGCTGTCACTGCTGCACGAACAAACACGAAACTGACACTACGAGCACCAGCAGCAAGTACACAAATGAAAACAGCAGTGGCGGTAACACGTGACAGCCAAGATCCTCGAAATTGGGCTTCATGTCCAGGCTTAGGGTCGTCTACGGGCTTTAAGCTTGGAGTACGACGCGCAAAAGCTTGAAAGGAACGACGCCAAGAAGCTTAGAGGCTTATATCCCTGGAACTGCACGCAGCCAAACCGCGCAGCTCTTAGCTAGCCGGTTTTGGGTTCAGGCCTACACCCAACTCCCAAATCCTAAACCACAAGCCCCTCCACCCGCAACCCAAAAACCGAAAACACAAACTCCGAACCCTAACTCTGAACCCTAGCCCCAAGCCACAAATTCTCATCACGGCTTGGGGACGAGCCTTCGCAACCTTACAGTACACTCTAGGATTGTCCTACACGAGGCACTCAACCGCCGACGGAAACCTCTTCACTGCTTCAATACCGAGATCACCGCCCAGTCAGAGGTGTTTCTCACGATCTTGTGACCTGAACCGGGGAACGTGAGAAAAAAATGTGCCACCTTTCTTGCCTGCAATGAGCATCTCTTTCCCAACGGTACAACTATTGATTCTGATGTGCGTTACGCGGATTGTGGAATTATGAACTTATATCATATATATATATACAAATATTTATCTATTTATATTCATTTATGTATATATATATATATGCTCATATATATATATATATATATTTATTTATTTATATTTATATATATGTATATATAAATATAGAAAAACGTGTATGTCTGTACGTGTATATATATATATGTATAGATATACAGCTAGATGTACAAAAGTGCACGTACATGTGTATATATATAGACATATGGAATGCATATAAATGTAAGTGTATGTGTATGTGTGTGTACGCACTTGCGTTGGCTTTATCTCGCCCTTCCTCTCTGACTCTCTCGTGCACGCATGCATGTACGTAGATACCTACACACGTCGGCATGTATGGCATGTACGAAAGTACGGTATGTATGCAAATCTGTGGCATGTGTCTCATCAATCCTGCCACTCCTATCGCCATCTCTTTTCTACTGCAGTGTTGCAAAATGCTTGCACATGTCCTTCATTAAGATCATGCTGGTCATTGTCAATTCTGATGCTGCCATGTCTGCCGTCGTCGTGATTCTGTCGCATGTTTGCCGTTGAGAAACTACGACGGCCAAGAGCATTTCGTTTTTTCTGCTCGTTCTCGCTGGCATCATCATGCCGAACAGAACATCTCCATGCCTTAAGCTTGAAACCCTAAACCTTGGATTGCAGCCCTAAACCCTACACTCTTCTTGTAACGGTGGGTTGATACAGGAATGAAAAAAGTTGTTGAGTTGAGGCATAGGGGCTCGTAGGGTCTTTCTTTGGCCTAGGTCCTAGGTCTGTAGGTGTGGGTTGAGGTTTCGGGCTGAGGATACATGTGGTATGGTGGGGTCTCAATACCTCACTGGCTTTGCATCCTTTCTATTCTTGAACCTGCCTATCTTAGAATGGCAAGCTGCAGAACGGCTGACAATCCTATCATGGGAAAACCCTGGCACACACGAAGCTGCTGCATCTGTGCCGATTGCTGCAGCCAAGATGCCATTCAGTTGGCTGGTCCATCTTAGCCACCAAACAATGGAGGAGAGGCAGTCAGGGTAACAACAATATAGCAATGATCGTACTCACCCCTAGCTCAAAAATTGTACGACCAACAACGCTTGTGACGACGATGACGATGATGATAATGATGATGACACAGCAATGTACGAGAATAGGATCACTACCATGAAAGTTTGAAAGAGAAGCGGCGAACATGAACGTAGTGGGAACAGCTGAACAGAACACAGCGATCAAATGAATAGCAGTGAAGGCATAGATCCATTGACTGAACAATAGCCGCAATAGCCTGACCCCCAACAGGAGAGGAAGGGAGGCGATGTATGCCACAGCTGCTCAGAAACTCTCAGGTCAGAGTGTAAGCATGTTTACAAATTTCTTTCGTGCTTACGTGACAAATCCTATGCCGCAATATGAAGCCCACTCCAATTCAACCAGCCAAGAACTGTGTGAAGCCATAGAACCTCACCAAAACGACCGAGACTTCCCAAAAAGCCTCAAATGCAGCTGAAACCAGCTACCGAGGCAGTGGCGACCTGCCCATGTGCCGTGGACCCACCGGGGAAGGAGTGCCCCGGTGTGCCCAAGAATATGAATATGCAAACCTGAGAGAGTTCACGCGTTTAGGGCTTTTGGGCTTAGGTTCTATGGCTTAGGATATATTTGGGGCCTAGGGCTTTGGGCTTGGAGTTTCTAAGGCTTGAGCTGGAGATGAAAATGAAAGCGCCTGGCGATGCTGAGGCTTGAAATCATTCTCAAACGCTTCAATCAGCAAGGTTTTGGGTTTAGAGTTAAGGGTTTCGGCGGTCAGCTCTCTGTAACAAGCCGCCTAGACCCTAAACCCCACACCCGAAAACTGCCCCCTAACTTTGAACCCCCCAACTCCTGAACCTTTGGCCCTAAACCCTGCACTACAAACCCATACAAACCCTGCGCCCTAAACCCTAAACAGAAACCCTAAGCGCTCAAGCCCCCGATTAGGGAAAACCCGACCTGCTTCCAGCAGATTCTAAGATTCAGGGTTTGCGGGTCGCGGTTTGGGGTTTGAGGTCAGTGCTGGTTTAATGCTAACTTGATGAAGCGTTTATGGCTTTAGCTGTTTGGCCTTGAGGGGTAGGTTTCAGGTTTAGGAGTTAGTCATGTTGGGCGCTTTGTGAGTCGGGTTTCGGAGCTATAAGCTTAGGCAGGTTCAGAGCGGTGGGTGGTTTAAGGCCCTATCGCTTGAAGTGACAAGGCTCAAGCCTTTAAGCTGCGGCATGACACATGCTTTCCTGGATTCGAAGGATCAGGGGAGGTAGCAAGCAGGTTGTAAGAATGGCTCTAAGATGGGGTTACCTTGCATATAACCCTGCTTACAAGCTACTTCCTCAGACGATAGATCCCTCGAGTATTGTAGCGGATGGGGGTGGAATGGGGTTCAACCACGGCCCCTTTTAAAGCATCTTGCTTGGTATAGCCCCTGATTGCAAGAGGGAGCCGGGGGAGCTCTCTTGTTACACCAACCCCCCAGTTCGTTCGATTCGAAGGCCCTCAGCCGAAAACAAATGCAGGCGAGCCTCTCCGTTCACCAAACAACTTGTCCACATGCCGGGCGGTGTCTTGAGCCAGACACGCGGTGGTTGGTTGTTCCCTGATTCCGAAACCCTAAACACTAAACCCTACACCCTAAACCCTAAGCCCTAAACCCCCCAAAAGCACAACCCTGAACCCTGATTCCGAAACCCTAAACACTAAACCCCATCTAAACCCTAAGCCCCCAAGCCCAGAACTAAGAAGCCGAAACCCAAAGGGTTTCACCTGAGCTGCTTGAAAAGCCGTGGGGTTCGAAGGGTATGGGGTTTAGGGTTTAGGGTTCCGGGTAGTGTTTTGGGGGGTTTAGGGTTTAGGGTTCAGGGTGTAGGGTTTAGGGTTGAGGGCAAACTGTTGCAGGTGATGTCCCCGCCAGAAGGTTTTACGCCCTAAACCCTAAACCGTCTATGTGCTTGTCTGGCCCTTAGGAAGGTGTAGAGGTAAGCCGTGAACCCTAGACTTCCTAGAGTTTTGGGTTGAAATCTGCTTTCTGGTCGAGGGTTTCCGCAAATTCTTGGCAGACGCCATGATTCACCCTCAACCCTAAACCCTGTGCCGCTCCGCACCACGAAGCCCAACACATGTCGGGGCCAAGCCCGTTCGAAGTGCGCTGCGCCGCTGCTGCACGACGGGAAGCTGACAAATTCCTCCCGAGTTCGCCGGGCTCGGAAAATCAACTACAGAAGATTACTTCAATTGCCATCAGGACCCTTCTTGAGGGACCCGTGGGTTTGTGTTTCTGCATAGACAAGTTCTAACATCGTGTTGTAACCGGCCGCATATATCAACACACTCCAGATCTTCCAGTTCAATTCTCGGTGCCCCCTTGGCAACAATTGAGCTCGGAATCCTCCACCTTGAAAGCTAAACTCCACGTGCTGTGCCCGAAACTCGGAAAAAAACCGCAGATCCTAAGCTCACAGCATGCAACCCTGAACCCGACTCAACACGAAACCGCAAACTACGAGCTGGACACAAGATGCTTACGTTTCGGTCTCATCGAAAGAAGCAAAGTCTTCAAGACTCAAGACCCCATACATTTGGGTCGAGGCCTCAGCTCTGCAGCAAGACATGTTCGCGGGCTTCCAAGCAGCTCTTCCTTCCCACAGCCCTTGGTGCAACACTTGGGTTTGGGGTTTAGGGTTTTGAGGTTTGGGCTTAGTTACTGGTTTAGGGTTTAGGGCTTAATGAGGTTTGGGCTTAAGGGTCTAAGGCTTCGGGCTTGGGCTGTTTGAATATTGTACTATAACTATATTCAGGAACCCCTAGGGGTTATATTCGTACTTATGCCGACCCCTATATTACGTGCATGCAACGACTTGGGTACAGCAGTAGTCTGTCTGGTGCTTAGT